CCAAATCCTAAATGATATTCTAAAGCTCATTATGGCCTAATCTAAGAAAACCCAAGCAATGGTCCAAAATGAGAATACCAAGCCCAAACTTCCATTTGCTAAGTATGCGGGCATAATCAACTTGTATGCTTAGCGTACTCCTTCTGGGGCTATTACGCGCAACGTACCAGCTGGGTATGCCTAACATACTCCCCAGTTTGACACCCCACTCCATTAAGCACTTAATCCACTGGGACTTCAAGCCAAAATCTCATATCTGATTCTAAAAGGCTACATATCACGTAAAGTTTTCAACTTTATATGCATGCTTGGCTTAATGGGGCTCAAGAGCTCAAAAAGAGCTTTATAAAGGTCTTAATACACGCATGGGTCAAGATACACAATAAAGTTTGCATTTTTATGGACTTGGGGATTGAATGTAGCTAAGATCTAGCATCCATTACATCTAGAGTAGATCAAAAGCTTTCCTTTGGGGATTGAATGTAGCTAAGATCTAGCATCCATTACATCTAGAGTAGATCAAAAGCTTTCCTTTAACACAAAGGACTTTAAAAGTGAATAAATGCTCCATGAACTAGATCTAACATAGTAGAGCATAAATATGTAAGCTTTTTACCTCAGAAAGCTTCCCAATGTGGAGTTGACCCCAGATCCACAAGCTCAAGTAATCCCCTCAAGTTCTCCTCCTCTTCTTCTTCTTCACCTTAATACTCCAAAATCTCTTTGTCAATCTCAAAACTCACCAAAACACTCAAGGGTTTTGTTTTCTAGAACAAAGAGAGGTGGAGGCTGGTTAATCATGTCCAAAAGAGGCTATAATGAGGTTTAACTAGGGTGAAAACCCTAAAAATTAGGGTTTTCCTCTGGCTGGAGTACGCCCCGTGTATTTCTAGTATGCCCAACATACTCTATAAGGCATGGATGACTCCTCTGCCTAGTATACCCAACATACTTCCATGTACGCCCCACATACTAGGCTAAACCCAAAAACTACCAACCTTCTAAATTCTATAACTTTTTCATTCTAATTCCGTTTTTAACGATCCTTATATCCACATAAAGGTGATGAGAAGCTCTATGCGTCTATCAACTCATACATGCCTTAAAACTTCCCGAACAAAAATCCAATCTCCATAAAATCCCAAACTGCCACTTTACGAATATACCATTAGGCTCCAGATCACCAACCAGACTTCCAGATCATCTAAATTACATTAACCACACCCAAATGGGTATAAATTCCTCTTTTCTAAAGGCCCTAAGCCTTATGATACCCGATCTTCAGGTCACTGCCCCGCATTAGGAAAGGATTCGGAACAAGGCGTTACAACTCCCCCCACTTAAATTAGATTTTGTCCTCGAAATCACTCCTTACCACCCTCCTGGGAACTAACTGTAACATCCCGACCCTCGGGTATAAATTTTAAAGCTTTATATTCATATTTAAAGGCCTACTTGACGATTTGGATGCCTTAACTCGTCGTTTAGAAATGGATATGGCTGCGTGACTTAACAGACCTACTCGACGAGTTGGAGCTGGAATGTGAAACCCTAATTCCCAAGGTTTGCACCCTATTTAAAGGCTCGTTAGCCACCCCTACCTCTCTTATCGTCCCCCTCAACCTCATAAAACCCTAATCATGTATTACTCCTCATTGCGTGTGTGTAAAAGCTCGGAATGTGGTTTTAGTGAGAGGAACTTGAAGACTCAAGAGCTTGGGTCAAGGAGAACCTTGTAGATCCAGTATCTATTCTGTTTTGGATTCCATTTGAAGGTAACAAGTGGTTACCTTGATCATTATAGTGTTATATCTCCTCATTCAAGGGTTAAAGGCCATATTTAGCATATTTGTGGGTCATTTGTGGTATTGAGCCTGATCTGAAGTTGTAACTTTAGATCTGGACCCCTCTAAATCCTCATAGTCATAAAGTTATCAAATTTAGCAAGATTGGGCCCTTCTCTTTGCCTTAAACCTCTTTCTTAGCTTGGTTTTGAAATTTTGGGCTTTGCATGCATGTAAAGTTTGCAACTTTATGTGGAAAGTACACCCTAGCAAGCTAGATCTACAATTTGGAGCCTTGGTTTTGCTTAAAAATGATTGAATAAGAAGAGGCTGAAGGGACTCGACGAGTGGCATGCTCAACTCGATGAGTCAAATGAAGATTTCCCGTTTTTGGTTTCTGCATGGACTCAGCGAGTCGGTAGAATGACTCGACGAGTTGGTTAGGGTTTTCTCGACATTTTAGACATCATGTGGACTCGACAAGTTGTCTGGAAACTCAACGAGTTGACTGGGGAATTCGCGACTTGCTAAGTTCTAAAGGAACTCGGCGAGTCTGTAGATTGCACTCGACGAGTTGGGTCAACATGGACTGTTGACCTTGACCGTTGACTTTGACTTTGACCAAGGGTTGACCACTTTGACTTTTAAGGTTACTTTGGTAAATTGGGTATTTATGGAATGGGATCAATGATGGTTGTGGGTGTTGGTGTTTGGAGCCGTATTTTGGGAGTTTGACATTTCAGTTTCCGATTGACATTGTGAGGCGAGTCATCCTCACTATACTAACAGGGTTAAAGGCACCAATGTTGGCCCTTTTTGGATTTGTATTCGGGTTTATTGCATGTTGATATAATTAGTGACCTGTTAGGTCGATATCCTTGTATATAGGATGATGCTATGTTAGTGACCTATTAGGCCGGTATCCTGGTATATAGGATGATGCTATGTTAGTGACATGTTAGGTCGGTATCCTGGTAAATAGGATGATGCTATGATTAGTGATCTGTTAGATCGGTCTGACTGTTGTATATGCTAGCCTATGATATAATGTGTTGATTGTGTATGTGAGGTTGGGTTGAGGCGGACCTGCTTTGTGCTCTAGGCCAATATACCCAAGGCAACCCGGATAGACTGCAGACCCGGTAAGGGCGTGCTAGTTAGGATGAAGGCCCGACGAGAAGTCCAGATAGGCTGAAGGCCCGCGAGGCGGTCCAGACATGCCGACGGCTCGGAGAGCGGTCCAGATAGGTTGATGGCCCTGCGAGGCGGTGTAGTCAGGATGATGGCTCATTATGCATGTTGTTTGTTTACTTGCTATGATATAGCTATGATTTGTATGGCGTTGGTATTTTGGGGGAACTCACTAAGCTTCGGACTTACAGTTTTGGATTTTGTTTCAGGTACTTCGGATGATCGCGGGAAGGCGAAGGTGTGATCGTGCACCTCCTCGCATTTTTATGATTTTGTTTCTAGGATACTCTGATATGAAACTATTTTGAAAACATTTTGTAATAATTAATGGGTTTTGAATGATTGAAAAGGTTTTAAATTAGCTTGAATTTTATGGATGTTACAAGTTGGTATTAGAGCCTTGGTTTGAGTGAATTAGAGGAACACTCATGTGAATCTAGTATCAAACCAAGGAAAAGATTTTCAAATGGTTTTCAAAACATTAAAGGAGAATGCAAAGTATACAATCAGCTGGAGCCAGTAAGTAGACCAAAAAATACCATACGGATATTTGATATTATGATATTTTAGAACAACATTCTAGTGATATGCTAGGTGTTTTCAGGAATTGCATGATAGAATTGTCTGATTATATGATGCCTAATATCCTAGGGTTTTCCTTATATGAAATTGACATCATTACTGTAGTTGCTTAGTGTATGCATCATAGTTGTACATAATTACACTACTAGAAAAATAGCCTTTTACGACGTGCAATCAATGACACGCGCTAATAGAGGACACGCATTTGTACGTGCCCTAAAATTTGATGTCAGTTTTCCAAAATATGAAGCATAGAGAACACGCGTTTTTTGCGTGCCCTAAAATTAGTGTCTAATAAAAAAACACGGAGGGCACCTTAAATAAAATGAGCGTCGTCTCACCATGTCGCTTTATAAATTTTAATGAAACGCGCGTTTCATCCGAGGGGGAAATGAAATCCAAAAATTAAAAAGCCCGCTTGGTTTCCACCAGCTGAAAACCCTAGCTCATCCCCGCTGAAAACCCCCTTTCTTTCTTTCTTTCTTCTCTCTCGATTCTCAAACCTCCATTCACCTTCCGCCATCTGCTGCTTATTTGACCCTTCCTAGTGTCTCCCACCGCCGTCGACTTCCGATGAAAGACGATCGTTCTCGGTGCTCTGCCTCTACAACGATCGACAATCTCACCTGATCACCTCGCCTCACCTTATCGGCTACATCACCTTGCCAACAACCTCACCTTGTCGGCAACCTCAGGTCTAGTGATCTCATGCTCGCTTCTCCTTGTAGGAGACCTAAGCCCTGTTACATTGATCCATCCTCCCAAACTTTGGAAGAACTAGCACTTTTCTCCGTACTACACAAAATCTTTTTAAAAATCAGACCAGTAAATCCAACAAATCGATTGCAAGTACCTCGCTTCATAGATGTGTCTACTTCTCAGCTTCTAGGGCTCGAATCCATATTTCCCCATGTCAACACTCCATCATATGTTTACTTAGCTTACTAAAATCATCAATCTCGTAGATTTTAGTTACAAACACCCTTCAATATGACGTCTTCAATCGATTTGGTAAAGGGTAGGCTTTTAAATGGATCGAATGAGTTCAATAATTGATGGAGGTTATTCATGTCGTCCACAGGTAAGTAATCCCTTGATCTGACCTAATTGTTTTAAGATTCATATTTTTTTTCAATTGTGATCGTATTTGAAATGGTCAAATAGCCTTCAATATAATTGTATTTGGAGGTCGATCACATTTAGTTACAATTGTGATTCATATCTGATTTTTTTTATAGTTAAGCAGTAATTGGTCAAATATGGGGACTTATTCAGAGTTAAATTGGCAGAAATCACAATGACACATAGTTTAACCTTTGTGATTTTTGGATTCTTATCGTGCTAAAAAAGGAGATATATGAATTAGGGTTAGTTACATATGTACGATATAATTATGACAATCCGGTAAAAACATTTGTTTGATTTTGCACATATTTAAGTAAAATGATTGACTGTTAGTCATAAAGATCATACACCCTGCAACATCTGGCATTTAAATTTCTTGTTTATTGATTTGGTTGTCAATAATTTAAATTTGTTCTCACATGTTTTCACAAAGGTGCTATAAAAGACGAATCTGAGGATAATGGAAACCTTTCTGATAGGGGTGTTGAATCGAACCAGGTAATTTCAAAGTTCTTCTTTTGTATCATGGAACCCTAGATTTATGGCCACACTTAATGAGCCTATATATATATATATATATATATATATATATATGTCTAAGTAGTATCCACTTTTATTATACCAGATTGAAGGCAATTCATCTGGAAAGAGTGTATGCAACTGGTATTACTTTTGATCAAATGTGCCATGTTTCGTATTAACTGAAAAAAATGATTATCATATCATCATTTCTATGTAGTAATCATTGATTGCTTCTAAGTGGGATTCCCAAGGGCATTTCAAGCCAAACTTTGATAAGGGAAATGAACCTTTTGTTGTCACAATGCAACCTCCAAACGTGACTGGTTCATTGCACATGAGACATGCTATGTTTGTAACTCTTGAGGTTTGGTAAATGTTTACTAACAACATAGATTCACATAAAAACTTTGTAAAATTCATCATTTTTTTCTTTATTCAATGTGTAAATAAACAAACCATTCATATTTTCAATTGTGTTCCAGGATATTATGATCAGATACAACAGGATGAAGGGCAGACCTACACTATAGCTCCCTGGAACTGATCATGCTGGCATTGCAACTCAGGTTTGAGTTTTTCCACAAATGGATTTCTGATTATTGTACTAGTCTACTTAGTTAATATATTATATATCTAACAGATATTGTTTTCAGTTGGTTGTTGAAAGAATGTTGGCATCTGAATGAATTAAGAGGGTTGAATCAGGTAGAGAAGACTTCTGATAAGGCGACTTGGTGCTTCTTGTGATTGGACCAAAGAACATTTACTCTTGATGAACAACTAAGTCTTAAGATGATATTCTATCACATTTTAAACTTAATAATCTTAGAAACTATGTTTAAATAGTTAATTATAAATGTTCATAAAAATTCATGCTGTAGGAGCTTGAGTCAGTGGAAGGACAAGATCAGGTGATAGAGATGTATATGAATGAGGAAGTCAGTGAACTTAAGAAAGAAATAGAAGAACTAGAGCATTTATTGCAGGATGAAGAGAAATGTAGAGCTGCAATCGCGAAGCTGAACCCCAACAATAACAGGAGCCACGAAAGAATATTGGAAATTAGTAATAGGGTTATGAATACTAGTAGGAGGGCAGGCATTTTGTGCTTGGTAAGAGTTCTGTCCACTTTATGGATCCATTTCTTGACCATGAGTTTGATTGGGGTGAACCATTGAGGGTTGATAAGTACGGGAAGTACCGGTAATAGAATGAGCACAAAGGACGTGAAGGTCAAATTCACAATCAGAACATGAATAGGATAACCCATTTCCGGCGAGTTTACAGGTATCACAGTAAAAGGAGATGGACCGATTGTGTTAGTTATAGCTCCAACTTGTGAACTTGCTGTTCAAATACAACAAGAAGCAACTAAATTTAGCACAACTTCAAAGATTAAGAATACTTGCATTTATGGTGGGGTTCCAAAGGTTCCTCAAGTTCGTGATTTACATAAAGGTAGGTGGTGATAAGCTCAAAGATGAATTTACTACTATGGATCGGGTAGATCCTTATGCTTCTTCAGCGTATTCAACATTTTCCAGCATTATATCTATCTATCTATCTTTGTTGTGCCTAAAGCACATGTTTCATCATCATTTTTTTTTTAATATTTTCTTTCAGGTGTTCATATTATCATTGCTACACCTGGAAGATTGATTGATATGTTGGAGTCTCATCATACAAACCTGAGGAGGGTGACTTACCTTGTGTTGGATGAGGCATATAGGATGCTTGACATGGGTTTTGAACCTCAAATGAAAAAAATTGTTTCACAGGTTTGTGAATTGTGATTAGTAGTTTTTAACCTGCCTTTTATAATAAGAGAAAACTAAAATATATATTTTCAAATTTTCTTATCTTATGGATTTTTGTATATACACAGATGCGACCAGGAACTTTATAAAGGGGAAGAAAAGAATGAGATACGTTTAGGTGTTTGTTCTAGAAGCAATGATGTGATTGAACCTATGATTAAGCCTCAGTGGTATGTCAACTGCAATGGTATTGCTAAAGAAGCTCTTGATGTTGTAATGGATGAAAATAACAAGAAAATTGATATACTTCCAAAACAGTATGCCGCTGAATGGAAAAGGTCACCTTCTCTAGTCTTTCATTCTACCTTTAAAATTGATATACAACATTTAAACTTTATTAATTAATTTTAATTTTTTTTTTTATTTTTACAGATGGCTTGAGAACATTTGTGATTGGTGTGTATCAAGGCAGCTTTGGTGGGGCCACCGAGTTCCTGCACGGTATGTGACATTGGAGGATGATAAACTGAAAGAGCTTGGAGCATACATGGATCATTGGGTGGTTGCTAGGGATGAGAAAGAGGCTGAAGCTGAGGCTAGAAAGGTCTTTTCAGGGAAAAAGTTTGAATTGGTTCAAGATCCTGATGTTTTAGACACCTGGTTTTCTTCAGGGCTTTTCCCTTTATCTGTATTGGGGTGGCCTGATGATACTCAAGATTTGAAGACTTTTTATCCAACTGCTGTTCTTGAAACTGGGCATGACATTTTGTTCTTTTGGGTTGCTGCTATGGTGATGCTTGAGATGATATTCGGAGGCGATGTACCTTTCCAAAAGGTTAGTTAAGTTTTTTAAATTATTTAAAATACTATAATGCAATTTTAGAAACAAATGAAAGCAGGATGCTATAGTACACAAATTAAATGAAAGTATGTTGTTTTTGACTTATTTCCCGCTTTTATCCCTATATCATCACAAGCCCCTGAAACACCGGTTCAACTACATCTGATGTAAGAGGTTCTAACAGAGATATGGCCCCACTCAGACCAGTGCCAGTACAGGAAATGCCAACAGCCATGGCTAATCTAGATTTAATTTCTTTAATCCAGGTGGTGGGGACACCAAATTACATGTGCCCTGACCTCAATGGACACCAAATTACATGTGCCCTAAGTATAGATGATTGTTGCAATTATGTCCCCATAAGTTTTCTCCTTTAATTTTGGTATAGGTGGCTGGTGGTTTAGCTTCCGAGACACCTCACATGATAAGTGCAGCTGTTAAAGGCATAACTCCATTGAGTTATGAGTTTACTTATCTTGTATCCGCTGCTTTTAGTGTTTTTCCATCCTCTTTTCTTCTTCTTTGAAGAAAAAACAAAGAGATAATTAAAGTAAGTATTCTTTGTTATTATTTTTTATATTAATTGTCTAATAATATGGTTGTTATTGGTGCAGGAAACTTTAGGTCTGATAAAGGTATTAGTTGCAAATTACAAGTTGAAGGGTTGCAAATGCATATGAAGGGCATGGTGGAGGCTCTGCTGAGCTGGCAGAGTACGAACAAGAGTCATTTTTAGGCAAAGGTTAGTGAAAGATCTAGATTTATATCTTGTGATAAATTGTTATTGAAATATAATAAATGGAATGGATGATGATATGTTGTTACAGGTGAAGCTACTGCTTGAAATGCTTGTGAAGAAATGTGGTATTGATGCTGTTAAGGAAGTTATGCCTGAAGAACATATGAGGCTGCTTACTAATATTAGAAAGGTTTGCTGAAGATTTAATGTTTTTTTCTAGGTGATTTTTTTTTGTTAATATTTTTCTTAACAATATCTATTAAGAATAATCTTTGATTTTTTTTTGTTTTGTTTGTATAAAGATATTGACAACAGAGGATGGTTACTGGATCGCCTCTTTTTTTGAAAGATGAAGTTGGTAAGAGCCTGTTTTTAGGGTCCATTCAAGTTCTAGTTGTTGCTTTTAAGAAACGGAAAGTCAGTCTTTGTCATGATGACTGCTATAAGCAGAGTGATGAAATGGATCAAGGTGAGCTAATAGAGAACAGAAGGCTAGACAATTACTACAAAAATACATTAGTTTTCCATGTTGGTAACTAAAAAGAATAGAAATATAGCATAGCCTGACTTATATTATTTAGGTCTCTCAACAAAGCCTGTGTTATTAAAGATTCAAACGTGGAACCATGGAATCTCTCCGCTATATTGTTGTTAAAAGACAACAATACCCTTTGGTAGATGTTGAAGCACAATATAAAATATAACATGTATGTTTACTTTGAAGTTTATGCAGGTTTCTTGTACTTGCTCCTCTGAGAGGTTTCTTCACAATCTCTTGTTTCTGGTGTGCAACATCAACAACAATAATTTCTTCTCTTGGGCTAAAGAGATAATGACACATGCCAAGGTTATCTCTCTCTCTCGCTCTCTCTCGCGCGCTCTCTCTCTCTCTCTCTATGTGTGTGTGTGTGTATATACCTGCAGTTGCACATGTAGTTTGTGATCAACTGATTTCTTATAGGAATACAAGATGATGACTTGTCTTCCATCATTATCTCAAAAGGAAATACTTGTTAAGCTTTTTCAATCTGTTGGGACATACAACACCTATCCAGGCTGGATCCCTTCTACTTGTGGGCCCATTTCTTGATTACTGGTTAACAGAAAAGAGAGTCAACATGTTTAAATATGATATTTCCTCTATGGTGAGTAAGAGTATATTTATACAACTATAAACCAGTAATTGTTAACAGAATCATGGTTTTATCTGTGTAGGATTTCTTGGTGTTATTGATAGAGGATAAGGAATTGGTCGAAAATCCTATGACTGATGCTTGGTTGCTGAAGAATAGAAAAAGTCCCTAGGTTGGGAAGAAAGAAGGGTTACAAGGCTGTTGGATCTTTTGTTGAACTCACTCCTGATGCATCTGAAGTGGTAAGTCTATTTGTTCCCTAGAGGATAATATTGTAATTGTTCTACTTATTCTAAAGCTACATCCCTATCATATACACACAGTTAAATTTTACGAATTTATCCCAACCTAATACCCATACGCATATGTCCATTTTAACACACGCCTACATTCAACTATCTGCAATAGAAAACCATCATTTAGAATAAAAAAATATATATTAAAAATTAAATATAAGTCAGCATATACCTGCAACCTAACTTCTAGAATAAATTTCAACTGTGTCTTGGGTTGGCATTGCCTCTCACTAAGTTTTGCAAGCCGAAATTTTACCAGATGTTAATAAACCTAATAAAATACTAAAAAAAAGACTTTTTATTTTTTAATATAATATTACCAAAAAAATATTTGAATTCTAACTTACATGAACTGTTTGCATATGCAGTAAATCCGCAAGTGCTTTTTGCCTCGACTGTTAATGTGAAAAAAAGAATCAAAGTATTATGTATCAGAAACATAAATTTACAAATATATAGAAAATTACAATTATGCCCTTTTATACCGATTGGTTAGTAGCCCAACGTTCATAATAGTGAGTATATCTCTCTAAAGAATTCTTTGCCATTTCACTTCTGTGTTCAGATTCATCATACTACAAATGGAAGTGGAATGAATTACAAGATTAAAGATTTGAGACTTTAAAAAATGAATAATTGTAATGCTTTATTGAATTTAGAGTAAAATACAATTAGTTTTTATTACATGATGTTTATAATTCATGCATGTTTACAGCTGCATTTGCAACCTTGTTCTAACATCAAACCCACATGTAGTATTTAATTGTTTATTTACGGTTGTGCCCCTGAACTATTCTGTATTAACATCCATAAGCCTTTTGTTCTCATGTTAGTTAAGATTCATAAAGATACTTATGTTCTAGCTGAATATAAATAAGTCTTTCTAGTAGCCCCACCCTTATCCTTAGCAACATAATTAATTACATTAGCATCTAATGTAATTCGGTTCTGCTTACAGTAACGAGGAAGAAGCAAGCCACTGTATCTAGAAGTTTTGGAGGAAACGGGACTCAAGCAAAAAGCAAACACACAGAGAGTTGTTGGTAGATAGTAAGCTAGATAATGCAATTGTATATTCTGCTTCTCTTGAGTTCATTTTTTCATAACATTTACTCACTATTGGAATAATTATTTGTATTTGACATATTAGTGAAATGAATTATCTTTGTTATTTATGGTATTTTATTTGTATGACATTAAGTTTTATGCAATGGATTGTATTTTTTGTATATGATATTTATTTTCTATTATGAGAAATTAAATACAAAATTAATTTGAAAATTAGTAAATCTGTAAACATATTTTTTTAAACATTTAAATTTATGATACGCAAAAATGTGTGTCATATTCATTTATGACATGGCCTTTCTTGACAGGGGTTTTCTTGATACGCATTGCGTGTCATTAACACGCGCGTCGTAAGGTTACGACACACGAATGCGTGTCGTCTTCCTTTATGATAGGGCCTTCCTTGATACGCATTGCGTGTCGTAAACGCGCGTCGTAATTGCGCGTCGTAAATGAGCGTCGTAAATGCGCGTCGTCTCTCTTTATGACATGGCCTTCCTTGACACGCATTTGCGCGTCGTCTGAGCCTTTTACGACGCGCAATGAGCGTCGTAAAAGGCTATTTTTCTAGTGGTGTTAAGATCTTATAGCCTGAGAATGTTTTGTTTGGCCTTATTTCCTGTTCTTGTCTGATTAAGGGCTTGGGGTAGGATCATATATTTGAATGTCTATAGGGTCCAACATTATGTATGAGTAGCATACACGAGTGCTGCAGGGTTGGTGAAAGTTTCATGGATGAGTTATGCAGGATCAGTCAGCCGGTTATAAAATATTTAACCTTCCTCTAGGAGTGAGGATTGAGCACTTACCATGTTTATATATATATATATATATATATATATATATATATATATATATATATTGTTAGGACGTTGTGGTGATACTATATACAAATATGGGTAGGTATGGAAGGTAGTATGGGTCTGTACTACTGAAAGCACAAGACCCATACGCGTATCAAGGAAGTTACAACCCCCAGGGCTTTGTTTGGAGTTGGTTTCCAAATTATTATATGGGATGACTGATATCTTATTGGTATATTTTGAGCATGGTGGTTACTAGACGATTTGTGACTGGATCCGGGTCAGGTTCGTGAGAGGGCGGTTAGGATTCGGGAGATCCAGCAGGATGAGGTTGCTACACTGTTCCGGGCACAGTTTTCGGAGATGTTTGGGTCTATCAAGGCTACCATCGTAGAGTACTTTGATGAGAGTTATGCAACTTTTGATGAGATAGTTGCCGCTACAGCCTCCGCAACTGTAACAATCGTTGGTGGTGGGACCAACAGGTCTTTTTAGTATCGGGACTTCGAAAACACGAAGCCCCCGACTTTTGATGGGATCTAGGACCCAATTGTCGCCATGAGGTGGCTATATGATGATGAGGGATGCTTTTTCACATTCTCATGACCTACTGACCAGAAGGTCAGATGTCCTCTGAACCTGCTGAGGTTCGGAGCAAAGGACTGGTGAAGGTTTATGATTGCATCGTATACTGATGATTAGAGAGCTGCAGTTACTTGGGATCATTTCAGGTATATGTTCCGCGCTCACTATATTCCACGGGTGGAGCGCGAGCGCCTGGCACAATAGTTTTTGGACATGAGGCAGGTTACAGAGTCGATGACGGAGATCACATGTATGCTCACTGAGCGGCGATGTTCTTCTTGGAGTTTGCTTCTGAGTAGGCTCAGATGACACGTTATCTGAGCATGCTCAAGACTAACATTCTTTAGTTTGTTGCTACACAATGTTGTAATACACTATTGGAGTTACAGTTGAAGTTATAGGAGGCCGTTAGGCGGTGTGAGATGGAGATTGAGTTACCATTGCGGGAGCAGAGGCAGGCCCCGATGTAGTCACAGCCTGTTCCGAAGCGGCACAAGACCGCAGATTCTAGGTCTGGGGGCCAGCGCGGCCGCACTTGTAGGAAGTGCAGGAAGATCCCTTTTGGAGTTTGTAGATCGGTAGTGTGTGCCGTAAATGCGCCAAGGAGGGGCATTTTGCGAGGGATTTTTGCCAGCCAGCCCCGGTTCAGGATATGAGGATTTGTAATCACTGTGATCACGTTGGTCATGTGAAGACCAACTGTCCACAGCTTGCAGACAGGCTGGCGCAGGGTTCAACACCGACTACACTGAGGATTACTGACGGGAGTCAGGGTCGGGCAGAGCCTCGGAATGCAAAGTTTTTTGTTGGTTGTCGGTGTAACGCCAATTTCTTTCCTTAGCCAACAGAGTTGATGACTTTACAGTTTATAATGATGCAATCGGAGTTGTGTTAGGTTGTGTTCTTACCCAAAGGGAAAAGGTGATAGCATATGCATCTCGACAATTGAAAGAGCATGAAAAGAACTACCCCACTCATGATTTGGAGTTGGCAGCGGTAATATTCAACCTAAAGATATGGAGGCATTATATTTATGGCACGAAGTGAAAACTGTTCATTGGTCATAAGAGTCTCCAGTACCTATTTAATTAGAAAGAATTAAACATGAGACAAAGACATTGGCTAGAGTTACTCAAGGATTATGACTGTGAGATACTTTACCACCCCGGTAAAGCAGATGTTGTCGCTGATGCTCTAAGTTGAAAGGTAAATCATGAAAGGAAAAGACCAAGAGCGTTATGAATTGAAGTTGTCTCAAAAATTGTGGAAAGCACTAAGAAATCTCAGGAAGAAGCTTCAGAGAAAAATGACCGAAAGGAAGAACGTTTGGGCAAAACGTTAGTGTTCGGTACAAACAGTCAAGGATTGAAGGTATTCCAAGATAGGATTTGGGTACCTAAGATGGGATAAATAAGAGATATTCTGAGGGAAGAAGCTCACAAGACCATGTACTCGATTCATCCCAGTAGCACAAAAATGTATAGGGATCTGAAACCATACTACTGGTGGCCGAAGATGAAGCTCGATGTTACAAAATATGTGGTCGAGTGTGTAACATGTGCGAGAGTTAAGTCACAACATCAGAAACCATATGGGAGTTTAGAACCTTTACATGTACCCATGGGTAAATGGGAAGACATCACCATGGATTTTGT